TATAGGACATCTATTCTATCGTCTTCTAAATTGTAGGGTAGTCTTTGACAAGAAAATATTACTAATAAAATGATTAAAAATAATGTTCATAAAAACTCATTGCTATTATATGAATTCTAGAAATTTCAATACAAGTATAAAAAAAAACAGCATCTATTATTAATAATATCTCGTAATGGATTGTATTAATGGAAAATAAAAGATTCATAGATGAACAATATCATAGGAATCGGAACAGCTCCAATATTTTTCATATCATAAATATGCATAGCAACGAAATTTCAAACGAATATGTATATATATATATATATATATATATTGTAAATTCGAATGAAATATTTTGTTAGATGAGAATCTTATACGATTTATTGAGCAAATAAACGTTTGTTATTTTATTTTTCTGACCCTATTAACAATAGTACTGATTGATGACATAGTATATTTTTATTTCAGTAAAAGCAAGTAATGATGTCATTTCAATTTACTGAAAAAAAAAAATTTGCTTATTTGTTTTGAAACACTTAAAAGAAGAGGGCTTATTTTTTCTACTAAAAACTCAACCATATCTATTGCATTTGTAGACTATTACGCATACTTTTTTTTTCTTAAAAGTATATAAAATGAAGTTTATCCTTGTAATTGGGTCTATAATAATGCTTTCTATTTCTGTCAACATCCGGACATGCATTCATTTCTGTGAAATGCTCAATAGTGAATGTAGCGTTAACCTTCACTCGAGTACTACTCCGGAACAAACACGATTGATCATCATTATCACCATTATTATCATCATCATCATCATCATCATCATCATCATTGTGAACATGCTTCGGTTGTTTTTTTTTTCTTCTTGTCGATTTTCCTTTTTATATTTTTAATCGTTAATAGCGTCTCTTTCTCTAGTAATAAATGAAGTCTAAATGCGTTTTAGACATTGAGCATTGCAAACGAGAAAGCTTACCAAACAAATGTCAAAAAATTGTCATTCCCTAATGCGGTTCGAAGAACGACAATGATGTCTTATTACCCTTGAGATCGAGGAGAAAAAACCAAAAGAATGAACATTTCATCAAAAAGCAAGACAAGCAAGGAAAAAAAAACGGGGACACACGCTCGAGCCAACCAGGAAATCTATAATTGATCGGTGGTTGCTTCTACGATGCTGATAGACAAGAACTACAGACTATCTCTGGGTTAGATTTGGTTCGATTTACCAACTTCTTCTTCTTCTTCTTTGTGTATTGGAAAAATTGCATTTGACTGATTACGTGATAGAGAACATGCTTTATATATAGTTTTTTCCTTTCTTATCAATAGAGATCTTCTAGAAGAAAGAATTGTTAGGTTTAGTAATATTTATCATTATATACTGTGTCGAATATATAATTATATATATATATATATATATCATAATAAATGTGTAATTGCTTGATTTAATATACGATGAAAATGAAGTAATAGTGATGATTCTTTTGAATTAGGTCGATTGCAGATTTGCATTTTTTTTTTTTTGTACTTGTTTTTTTTCTTGTTGATTAATGAGAAAAATAAATTAATTTATTCTATCTAAGTATGCAAGTTCTAATAAATATCTTTTTTTTTTTTTTCTATCTTTTGTACATTCATATGTCATAATCATATAATTAGGTATTCTCTTGTTACCGTTTCTCAGGTGAGCACATATTCTTAGTTGTTCTTCTTGATATTGCTTTGCCATTCATTCATTCATTCATTCATTCGACTTTTTTAATAAGTGAGTCTCTTGAGTCGAGAATGAATTATCAAATTCAGCTTTCATTTTTCTTGTTTTTTTTTTTTTTTTGTTTTTCATGAAACATGATATAATCAAGCTTGAACATGCAAACTGATGCACGAGTACGAGTATTAATAAACGAATAGATAACTCGTAAATCGATAAATGATTGAACAAATGAGTGAGAGAGTAGGAGGGACAAAATCGACGTTCCCGAGAAACGGAACATATATACACACAGACATACAACGTCGTTGCCAAGGCATTGTGTATTGTAATAAGACTCTCTCTGTTGATGACGACAAAAATGGAACAAATAGAAAAAACAGAAGAGCGACGTTTTGTCAAATAGAAGAAAAAAGAAAGAAGAAAAAAAAGAGAAGAACGAAAGAAAACTTATAGAATTCTGTATATTTTTATGTAACGGGTATGTCCCTTGTTGTGTCCCAACATTCTTCTTTTGCTTCTTTCTACTACTACTATAAGAGAATACAATCATCATTACATTGCTTCGTATTCGCTTGCAAGCTGAAAACGACATTATATTCTTTTGGTCGTTGTAGCAGTACTCGATAACGAGAAAAGAAAACAAGGAAGAAAAGAACAATGAACATATTTCTGCTCTCTTTCAAGTAGAAAGAGACAGAGGGAGAAGGAAGAGCGACAGAGAAAAAGAAGAAAAATCAATTTTCTTTTTCTTCTTTCTCTCTCAGTTCGTTATTACAACGTGCTCTGGTTTTTTCTTCTTTTAAAAAATCTCTCATTCTTTCTTTTTATTCTATTTTTTTTTCTCTCTGTTCTATAACACAAGCAAACAAGAATCGTCGTTGTCGCCGTCATCATCACAGAAAATACTCTTGCCGTCGCTGCGCGATAAGAAAGATAAGTTGTTGCTTCTACGACTATTGCCTTGTGTTGCCGTGCATTGCGTCCGTGCCGAGTCGAACCACTCTCTTCTCTTTCGCTTTTTCTCGCTCACATACTCTCTCTCTATCTACGATTGAACGACATTGCATACAAACGCACGAACCCCGGTGTTGTCCAAGAGAGACAAGAACGACAAATAATCTTCATTACGAACCTGGTGTACAGGTTAATATTAAAACACATATACGAGTGGAACTTTAGAGCAAACTCAATTCCAATCAAATTATAATGGTGAGTATAATTGAAAACTAAAAAGAAAAAAAAAAGGAAGTGCTTTTTTCTATTATTACAATGGAAATAACTAGTAATCGATTTTACTTCGGTCTACTGATTATTTTTGTACTTGAACTTTAAAATAATTGATTTTTCAAGCTTCTTTCTTTTTCCGATGGATAAAAATCAATTTTACACAATCTTTTTCTTGTTATTTGAAATGTTTTAATAGAGAAAGAACTTGAATGTAAATACATATAAGTCGTTTTCTGTACTTATTTTCATTCAAGTATGCAAATTAAAAATTATGAATAGTTTTAGTAACTCATGATTTCAATAAAATACTTCTATATTTACTGAAATTATTCATTCCATTTTATGATATGAGAAAAAACAATTAATTATTCAGATAAAAAGTTTGTGTTCAAATAATAAATAACTCTTTTTTTGTCATTATTATTAAAAAAAATATAGAAAATTATCTGAGTTAACTATCCATGAGAAGAAAAATTGTTAATATTCACAAAGTGACATTTCGGGTATAAATCATGTTTTAGAAGAAAAAAAAAAAGTTGATCAATTTCATGGTATATGAGATATCATTAGAAAACTCTAATAATATTTATCCTTGTTTAATCATCCGATCAATAGATAAAAAACGGTTTTAAGCTTTTTTTTTTTCGCTTCTTAGTTTTGTTTCGTAATCATTGCGTGTTCGCGTGTACTAAGGCGATTTATTGGACGCCAACTGATTGTGACACACAAGCAAGAGAGGTCGAAATTTCTCTCGCTCTTTCTTTTATAGCCATGATCGTGCGACGGTTGCGCTCGCGTATCTTAATTGATTATACGGGTGTGTGTGTGTGTGTATGAAGAGAGAGAGAGATCTAGAAACAACACACACGAGAGAACGCATCCGATTCTTGTTGTCGCCACTATGAGTATGCCATCATCGATCGAGCAAGGCTAGTAAAGAGAAAACAAGGACATGTTTTGTTCGCACACACTTGACGATAAGGAATGAGAAATCCTATAGAGTTTGATTAATTTTAATATTTTTCTCCAGCTGAGAATCAAACAAACTTTTTAAAATATCCGATCAATTTCTATACTGTTGTTATGTTTTTTTTTTCTTGTAGTAAAAATAATGTTGCATCTCTTTCGTATTTCTTATTTTTTGATTCAATCTTGTAATGACATTCTTTTGTTCATTAAATATTCTGTCATATAAAATATAAAAAAAAAAAAAAAAGGAGAAACGCCAAAAGTACAAAGATCAACATGAGTTTCTCTATTGTCATTAATATTGAATACTTCACGATAAAAATTACGAACTATAGTATTTATATACCATAAATCCTTTCTTTTCTTTTCCTCATTTATAAAAAAGGAAGTAAACGATCTATCGTTTTGAATATCATCTTTTTGTTTTTTTAAACCAACTAACAGTCAAAATTACTCAAGGTTTATTTGCGATGATATTGACATCAGTATGTTAATCTGTAGGGATTAAAATAAAATCCTCCGGAGGTCATTATTATTGAGTTAAATAGTTCTTAAGTTTGATGATTTATTGACAAATAAGAAACTATCTCAAAAAAGAAAAATCAATATTCTTTTAAATAAGTAATAGTTTATCACATTGTTAATGAAGAAAACATATATATCAATTCAAATAAGAAAAATAATTTTCTTCATGTTTTATTCAAAATTTACAAAAAATTTTTAGTAAAAGATTTATATTCAATGAGAAAGACATATTAATACTTTAGTTTTTGTATTTCCATCAAATTGAGAATGAAAGAAAACACAAAAAAAAAACAACTTCACTTAAAGAATAGTATTGTATGTTTATTATGCTTCGATGAAAAATGATGAAGTGTATTTACGAATAAAAATAATTATGTAATATGATTGTCAATATTTTTTTTTCTAGGCTGATCAATTGACCGAAGAGCAAATAGCCGAATTTAAAGAAGCTTTTTCCCTGTTTGACAAAGATGGTGATGGAACAATCACTACAAAAGAATTGGGTAAAAAAATTCTTCATTTACTTTTCATTCATATATATATAGATATATTTAATAAATATCCATTAGGTACGGTAATGCGTAGTCTTGGTCAAAATCCAACTGAAGCTGAATTGCAAGATATGATCAATGAAGTCGATGCCGACGGTAAGAGTTTTAATCAAACAAATAGTAAAATCAATCTGGTTTATGTTTTGATTATAATATAAAAAGAAAAATATCTAATCTTTAATTGAACACAGAACATTGACGTTTGCATGCAATTAAAGATAAACCTCGAGATATATTTATTCTTAAGGTCATTGGCGTTTTTTTTCTTCTATAAAAATAACAAATAATTAATAATTATTATTATATTTGATTTATTTTTTAGGTAATGGTACGATTGATTTTCCTGAATTTTTAACAATGATGGCACGTAAAATGAAGGATACCGATTCGGAAGAAGAAATTCGCGAAGCATTCCGCGTGTTTGACAAGGACGGTAATGGATTTATATCAGCTGCTGAACTTCGGTAAGAAACCAAAAAAAAGACAGCGACACATGAATTTATTTTTTTGTGTTCAGTCATGTTATGACCAATCTAGGTGAGAAACTCACTGATGAAGAAGTTGATGAAATGATCCGAGAAGCAGATATTGATGGAGGTTAGATTTTTATTATTATTGTTTTTTTAAAGAATATTTTATATTAATTTGTTAATTGTTCTTTTCTAGATGGACAAGTCAATTATGAAGGTAAAAATAAAATAAAATCAATGTAACAAATTTTTTTGTTTCATGTGATTATTTTTTGCACTTTAGAATTCGTAACCATGATGACGTCGAAATAAAATAATGATGATGCCTCGTTTTTCTTTTTGGTCTTATTCTTTTTTTCTTTTTTTTTTTTTCTTATCTATTTTGTTCGAACGCGCACTCACTCATCTCGTTACATCGATAAATTGGATGGATGAACGTGTGGATGATTGTCGTCACTTTCTATTGTTCACACAATCTTTTTCTTCATATGCTTGTGTGTGTGTGTGCGTCATGCGTCCTTTTTTTTTTTTCTTGAATGTCTGTCTGTTTGTCTGTCATAGCGTTGCGCGACGCTAACAATATAAGACACAAAACAAAACATGCGTACTAATATTATACAGTTTGAAAAAAAAAATTATTTGAGATTTTCTTTATACGTTAGTCTCTCCTCATGCATATTGAATATACAAGGATATATTTAATCATTGAACAACATACGAAAGATGAAGAATAGAATAAAAATAGATAGATTTTCACAAATTATGAAATATATATGACGCGACAAAAAAAAAAAACAATCAAATCAGATGGGACAAGGCTATTGAAAATGACTAGTCTATCTCCAATAGAGTTGATCTGTCAAAAGACAAATAGTCTTTTTTTATTTCCAAGATAATAGAATTTTAATCTGACAGACTTTTCAATAATGGACATGCAAAGTGCGATTTATTATTATATAAATAAAACTATTTTTATTAGAAAACATTGACTTGAGAAATAATGAATAATGACATTCATCTAATCATTCATCTACGAACAATCAAATTGTACATTTGATCTTTGAAGAATCAATTTAATTTCGTATATTATATTTCATAAGGAATAAAAGTACATAATAAAAAAAAAAAAAACATATAAAGAAAAAAAGTTTGAATAAATCTCTTTCTCAAACATAACGACAATATGATTGACAAGAAGATATAATAGTCAATATGAAATAATATCTTTCAATAATATAAATTTCATCTGAAAAAATTATTGATCTGCTGTTTATTTTTCATGAAGACGAAACAAAAAAACTTTCAATATTTATTTTGTTTTTCTCTTATAAATGTCTTTTCGTTATAACATTATTAGATTATTTTATAAGCAAAAGAAAAAAGTTCTATCTTGACTAGCGAATCATTATAAGAAATAATTATCTTTTCAATAACGACAAACTTGAAAACATGCAATAAGTTAGAGACGCACTCGTGCATATATCGAAGAAAGTAAATTATTTTAGAGATATTCTAGTGTGTTCTTAAAAAGTTTAGTGTCGACAACTACGTCAGCTTTTGTTTTTTGTTTAGTTAGAAAAAGAAAAAAAAAAAAAAAAAAACCCATTTCCCGAACATATATAACGAGAAACAATCCGAACAACCACAAAGTTAAAAATATATTTCTAAGTAGAAGTTTGCATTGAAGGATAATCATGTTGATGATTTTTTTTGTCAGGTTAGGTTCCGAAACGAGCATTATATTCTAGACCATTAATGATCGATAAAGGTTGTTGAGTTTTTATTATATCGATGAAAGAATAAATTAAAAGATGAATTGTAATTTACTATATTTAGACAAGCTTCTTTTTTTTTTTTTTTTTTTTTGATAATATCTTTCCTTCAAGTAATATTTTAATAAACTAAGACGTCACATAAAAAGATTATAGAATGTAAAAATAAATCTATTAATAAAAAAAACTCTTGTCCTTGTCAAATACTTATAATGAACACCTATAAATTATTCAGTAGATGTTTGATTGTTATATGGATTAATTCGTGTTATGACTATGTTAAAATATTTATAGTTATTGGTTATACATGTTGATACGGTTCATTAATTCAATACAACCAAAGCTTTTATTATCATTTAATACTCTTAACAAGAGAGTAGAAGATTATTATAAATAGCAAATGATAGACTTTTGTAATAGTATTATAAAACCTAAGAAAAAATAGAATTTTGATATATTTTTTTTTTTTTTTACTATGAATCATCGTATTCATGATGAACTATATGAAAAATGAATCGTTAGAATTCAGCACAATATTCATCATCATATTTAAAGATTCAGATATCGAAATATGCTTGGGAAAAAAAAAATCTGTTTTAAAAAATGAATTTCAGTGAATGTCTTCGGTCTTATATTCCTTCTATTTATTTAAATAGAAAAAATTCAAGTATTTCATACAATATAACAACTGAACTGAGATTTTTAGAATGAATACAATTCGATATTAAAAAACCTTGCAGAGAATTCATTTTTAAAACCAACATGTTACTAAATTTGTTTCTCTTGTTTTCATAATGAAAATTTTACATTAGATTTGTTTTTTAAGAAGAGATAATGACAAAAGAAAAAATTATTGGAAATATTATTATAAAAACAATTGTCTTCAATGAAATGAGAATCTGGAAAGATGATAGATGCATTGTTAGTTTAATTATTATTTTGCATACACAGAATTCTAGCGTGAACAATAATTCTTTTCGTATTACCATTTTTTTTCCGAACCATATGAACTTTCAATACCTTAGAAAATATATGAAATATAAGCTAGTTAATTATTAAATAAACAAACATTCTATTCTATACTTTCTTTAATAATTAAAATGATGTAGAATGATCTTTTCATAGTTAAAAAAAAAAATGAAATTTGATTCTTAATTGAAAAACTATCAATACATATTGTTATCTGTCTTATTAATTTAACTTACTATTAATGAACTCATTTCTTTTTTCGAAAATCAATATTGTTTCTTGTGTATTAAATAACGAACATAGAAAAATTACATCAATATTTTCTTGAGAATATTATCAAGGACAAAATCATTTAATGTATTTATTAGATAAACTATTTCTATTTGTTATTGATAATCAATGTTACACATCTTTTCTTTATATTAATATAGACGAATCATAGAAATATTTTATGCCTTAGAGATGAAAATTTAAGATTGTCACGTACTCATATGACAACACATGATTGATGTGTAATAGGGACTCATTTATAGACAATGATGTTTTCATTTAAAGAAAAGAATATTATATAAATAGATTTATCTTAAAAATTTCTTCTAACATCAAATATGGGTACTGATAAATTTAATTAAAATTTATCAATGACTTTATTTATAGGCAAAAACATTTCATTAGACACATTTGTGCCAACTAAGATGTGTTGTATTTTTTGAAGACCAAATACAAGATTAGTTTCGGGGAAAATCATTTCAAACGTTTTTCTATCTTATGTTCTATGATTTCAAACATTCTAAATACTTAATTTTACTATTATTTGTCATTTATTTTTCTGTCAGCCAAAGAAAATATTAGTACGAAAACTATGAAGAAATAATTGATAGAGTAATGAATCCTAATCTCTATGATTTCTTCGGTTCTCTTGTCGCATTTGGACATTCCTTGTTCGTAAAAAAAAAATAGAGAAGCACTCAATTTTGCGTATGACTCTATCAAAAAGTTATGAAAAAGATTTTCCTACGTATTATTTGATTACGGGCCAAAAAAAAAAGCCCATAGATGAAGATATAAACAAATTTAGAATTTGATCATAAACATTTTGTTATGAAAAACAAAAGATTTTGTTTCATATCTCAATCATTCATGCTTTTAATAATTTCCATCTGTGTTATGTATTTCGAACCATAATCATCTTTACTAAATATTCAAAATATCCAATATATATATCGAATCTCTGAAAAACTCAGAGACATAAGAATTGACTCGAAAATAATTCTAGACATAGTCAAGTTTTATTAAAAACATATGTTTAATAAAAAACGATGCATTATCATATCGCATAATTTATTATGGAAAGAACAAATCAATACTATGATTAATACCATGAATACGGAATGATCTAACAGTTTGTTTTTATTTTGCTGTACTTTGACCCAATAAATTTAATTTTGTTTTTTCATTGTTAATAAAGAAATATTCATAGTTATTTATAGTCATGAGAAAAACGATGAAAAACATACTGTCTTGAAATATTATTTTTGACATAAGGTCAAAGCTGTAGTCTTTGAACTATATATGAAAGTAAACAGTATTTTCTGACAAACTTCACTGAATAATTTAGGTTAAATGTCAATAAAACTTTCAGATTGCACTACTTAATAGGACATACACTTATGAAAAAAAGTTTTAGGATCAAATGAGCTTTTTTTGGACCATTGATGGAAAATATTGTATTTCTTTTCTTTAGGATTAAAAGGATAAACATAGAAGTTTTTCAAAATTCATTCACATGACTGCTCTAAAAGTATGTCAAAAGCAATATTCATTGTTTCATTCATGAATATGAACTATGAGCATGCCTTTAGTTGACAGTAAAAAGATTAGTCCATTTATTTAAATTATAGCGGAAATACTCAAGTATTCCAGCTCGGAAAAACAAGCGTTTCTGTTTATTTCTATGAGATCCTAAAATCAATTCAACAAGCCTATTTTGATTTAAAAAACAAACAGTTTCTAGAGCAAATATTCTTCACCAAATGTCAAACATATGTTTACTTGTTTTTTGATGATAGACAATCGAAATGATACAATACAAATAACATAATGAATTCCATAAAAATTACAATTTTTTAATGAAAAGAAGAAAAAAAAAGAAGCCATGTCCTATTTATAAGCTTTACAATATTGATAAAAACATAATCAATAATGCTCTCTGTCAAACACAATAGTTTGTTTTGTTTTTTTTGTCTAAAATAAATCTCACCACTAGAAAGATCATCAGATTTTGATTCTGGTTTTGTTTTCGTTGTGATAAGTTTTTAGATGATTTACTACTATTCGACAGCTTCGAATCAATACTCTTATTTTATTATTGTATGATTGATGTGATTTTATCTTTTTCTACAATCAAAAACATATGTTACCACTATTAATAACATTTATCTCGATAGAAAATTTTATTAAAAAAACATTTCATGAAGCTTTTTTTATGTAATACGAACTTTGTCAATCATGTACATATCTAAAAAATAGAACAGCGAATGAAATTCGAAACTTTAAAGATTATAAGACATTGTAAAAATAAAAATCTATATTGAAAAAACTCAATAATACAAAGCAAAAAAAAAAAAAGAAAGATTTCGAAATAGATCTTTTAATTTATATAAAAAACTATTGATAAAAATGACATAGAATACTATTAATTGACTAAGATTTTTCTATTCAAAATATAATTCAAGACAAGTAGATAAATTAATCGTAATCTTTTAGACGTACATATAAAAAATGTTTATCCATATAACTACATTCCTATTGCATTACTTTTTCCTCCTGAAAATCATAAACTTATTATTGAGATTTAATCTATCGACGTTATTTTACTAATCTATACGAATGATTTTATAACATGGTGTGATGATTTACGATCTAAATGAAGCAGGATTGAATTCTTTTACTGTAAGTTTACCCATATATATCTTATCTTTATGACTTAATTATATGAAGAGAACAGTAAGCAAACGAATCGATTATTATCAAAGCAATGATCATGACGAACAACGAGAATAGTAACCACATAGAGACTAATAATAATAATAAAAAACAAAGAAAACGAAGTGTATTTGATCTTGAACAAATTCGTCAATTAGAACATGTTTTTGATAAAGTAACACATTATCCAGATCAATCTGTTCGTCAACATCTTACTCTTATAACTGAACTTCCTGATAAAAAAATTCAAGTTTATTTTTTTTTTTTTGTTCTTTGTTTTTAATACTCTTTATTCATTTTTTCAATAAGATTTGGTTTCAAAACCGTCGTGCTAAGTGGCGTAAACAACATCAATTAGTACATTTTGGTGGTTTACATGAATTAGCAGTTGATGGACATCTTAGTTTTGTTCCAGCACCTAAACCAAATTTTGTTTTACCATCACCATCAGTAACAATTCCCGATGTAAATTTCATCTAGATTTTATTTGAAATATTTTATCTTTTAAAATATTTAGAATTCATCAATGCAACAACTTGAACAATTTTTCTATTGGGCGTTTCAGACAGCTTTAACAAAATCTAATGAACATCCTGAACAAACATTTCTTATGAAAAGGTAAATAAATGTCTAGAAATATTTTGATGAAGATTGTTTTGCTTTTTTTTTCATGCTTGACTATACGCAAGTGATAAATTAACAAACATCATTTATGTAAACATATGTTTTTCTATAGGAATGATTCAATTGTTCCTTCGCAATTTATTAATGAATTTATTTCTTCTACAAATAATGACAATTAACTTTCAAAAGGAAGTTTATTGACAAGATTAAATGTGTTTCATTTGTAGAAAAACTGACACTTATTGTAAACGTACCTTTCGAGATTTATTTTGCAAATAAAGAAATATTTTTATTTACAGTAATCTAATTGAATAATGCGTTGTCCTTTTTTTTTTTTTCATTTATTTTATTTTACATTAGAAACAAAAAAAATGTTCGTTCAATATCTTTTTTCGTTTTTTTTTCTTCTTATATTTATTTCTCTGTACTTTTTTTATTTGTTCGATATCTAAGATAAATATTAGTAAGTGTAGAAATAAATGTATTTAATGCCATGATCCAAATAATTATTGGAAATCGAAAAAATGGAAAATTAAATAATGGTATTGCATCATTTCGTCGATTTTTTATTGTTAAGATAATCATAATTAAAACAGTTCCAATATTGAGTATTATTCGAATAGAATTTAATAAATTTTTTTGTTTTGCTTCAATATTATTTCGTTCATTTTTAATGTGATCTATAAGTGCATTACGTCGTCGTTCTTTACGAGCATAAGTAGCAAATTCATCTTGTTGAGAAAGTATTTTTAATTCCCCTGTTATACATTTTAATTCATCAGTAAGTGCATCAATTGTCGTAGATGGAGAATAAAATATATTCGAAATCCATGAACATACCAGTGGTGCCGATGCACGAAAACATATTATCAAACTAGTAAATAGAAATAATGGCCAATTGACCGGTGCTATTGATAATGTATCTAACGACATTATTAGAAAAAAAATCTATAAAAAAAGACAATTGATAATAATCGATCCATGAGATATTCAGGATTGCTTTTTTTTTCTTGTTCAATTTTTATTTTTCTTAGATGAACGAGACCAAATTTCTTTTACACAGAAATTTCCTATCAAAATAATTAAATAAAAAGACATTTTTCTCGTCTGATTTTAATTTTCATCCAAAAAGAAAGAAAAAAAAACATATTCTCCGTAATTAAAATGAAAAATCATAAAATAGTTGAATCTCTTGACATTAATAAACATTTCTATATATTGTTCATCTAGCGATATAAATAAAAACACAATAAATAAAATGGAATAGACGACAACACAAATGCAAAAGAATTGTAAAATATTGGTTTCTTTTTTTTTTTTATTTGAAATCGTCCACACTGAACATACCCTAAAAAAAAGAAAAGAAAATCGTAAAATTCATTTAAATATTTTTTTTTTCTCTTTAAAAAACTTACACGTGCTCGTCGTAAAATAGAATCTTTAGTAGCATCATATGGATGTTCTTTACTTGGAATTTCTAATATTGCAGGTAGAGTTTTATCATGACCATCAACCGTTCCACGAATCATTTCAGCAATCTTTCAAAAAGAAAATTTTAAAAATAAAAATATAAACAACTTATCGTACATATTGACTAATAAGAATAATACCAATATCGTCACGATTAAGAAAACTTTTAAATGTTTCATCAATATCCGATGTTTTTGTATCTATTTATATTAATCAATTGCAATAAATTTAATTTTTTAAATATATTTTAAAACGAACTTTTATCAACAATTAAAAAATTTGGTTTACGTGTTTTAGCATGTAATTCACCAATACCACCAAGTAAAAAACCAGTTACTGTATCCTTTTTTTTTTCGAAAAAAAAAACATAAAATAACAAAATAAAAAGCAAAAGAAAAACTACAACTAACTTCATCGCCAATAACAGCCATTATTTTACTCTTTCCAGCGAAAAGTGATGGACCTGTAGTACCACCAGCATTAGGACCAGCGCCACTTGTCATAATAATATCAACAAAAGAAATATAGAATCTTAAATATAAATTTAAAAAATATTTAGCTGATGATCAATTGATTAGTGTTTCTCAGAGAAGTTCTTAACAATGTGTTTTTCATACACTATTTATAGTAGCGAAGTTTACATGTACACCTTGTGTTTTGTCATAAATGTACAATAGCAAAGTACTATTAAATCGTCTATAGTAAAAAACATAACATGAATAAAAATCGTACTTTTTCATTGAATAAACAATATCTATTGATAATAAAACGGATGATAAGCGCAACACACTTTTTTGTTGTTTTTTTTTTTCCTCATGTGATCAAAGAAAGACTCTAGGATAGAAGGCACAAGTTAAGTGTTCTAAAGCAATAGAATAAATTATATTTTATTATTTGTCTACGTACAAACTTATTTACCATACTGACAACAAAGTGTTATGTCTATGCAACAAAAGTATGATATTATGTGTATATCAGTATTAGCAGATGTTTTGTACATTTTTTAGTTCTGCTTGATAAAGATTTACCATTAGAAATACTGAAGATAATTATTGGTGAGTGATACTTATTCTTTTGCCACGTATAGAAAAAAAAATTTGTTTTGTTTTGTTTTGTTTTGTTTTATTTGAGGGTTCGATTAAACATTCTAACATTGGTAAGAAATCTTAACCAATAGAAATATTTGTCAATCAATTTGGATTCATTGTTCTCCTTCTGTTGTTTTTGTTTTTGATACTAAACTGTAGACTTCATCTATATTTTACTTGTTTATATATTATATTGTTAACTCGATTGCAATTCCAATTGTTTTTCAATCTTGATATTACCTTATACATAGATTGATGCATATATAATGTACTAATTAAGTGTTACGATGTAATATATTACAATAGAACTTGACTTTTTTTTTCTCTTGATTATGTTAGATATAAATGTATCGTACATTGTTAAAACTTCATATTCATCTTAAAGTAAATTATTATTTATTGATTCTTCTTCGATAGTATTTTTTTCTCCTTATATATAGAATCGTGTACTTGATTTATCGTATTCCTATGGATTTTTTGTTGCTGATCATTCACTTTATGTTATTTTAATTTGTTTTGGTGTATTTCTTCTTAGTTTGTAAGAAACAAAACTATTTTTTATAGTATTTTTCATAATTACTTTGTATAGATTTCAAATAACTACTAATGTTCCACCACCTGGTAGTACATTAGAAATTTTTGCTGAAACATCAAAATCATTTCGACCTGTTCGTGCTCGATTAGAATTAAATACAAGTGATCAATTACATGACAAACAACCAGATAAACCATTATGGGTAAGTTCAGTTATAAAATTCGAAATTAAAATCAGTATTAAATTCTACAGAGATCAAAAAATAATTGGAAAATATTTACTATATAAAAAACTTAATTCTTTTTTTTGTTTATTTTAAGTATTCTGGTTATCCACTTGCTTATGTTCAACATATTGTTATACGATGTTCAACATTAACATCTCGTACATCATGTCTTTTACGTGCACGTGATATTCATGATCGTCTTTTTGCTGATTCACAATTTGATACAAATTGTTTAAGAGTTGGTGAACCAATAAATGCACAACAAATGATGTTATATTTACCATCATATGGTTGTCTTTTTCTTTCTCCATTAAATCTTTGGTCAAATGATATATTAAATATAAGAAATAATGAACGAGAAATTCTTGAAACAATTCCATCATTATCAAAACGTTATACAGATATTATATTTGGTATTCCACAAGAATATTTTTCGTCAAATAAACCATTAACATATGCAGTAACACTTTTATTAAATAATGCATCAAATGACTATCGACAAGATTTAAAAAAACGATTATCTGCTTTAGATGAACAACAACAAGATGATATAATACATATTTATTTTTCAAGAAAATCTCTTCTTTATTATCTACCATTAGTACTTATTTATATTGTTGTTTTTCTTTATATTTATTATTCAGTTAGTAAGTATTCAATTAAAGTTTTCTTAGTTACATAAATATGATTATTAGACATATAGAAAATTGAGTAAAGACAACCATTGGGTACGAATTTAAGACAATATTTTATGTACATAAGAAATGTAATTGATTTTTTTATTTCTATTTATTTAATTAATAAAGGAAGCAAAAATCTTCTTTAGAACCTTATCAGTATTTGATAGATTCTGATTGTTGAGTGATTCGTCATTGTAGCCCAAAAATAGATATTCGGCTTTTGAAATGTTTCGACCTTCGCCTCCTAGTTTCAAGGATGTCTCTGTTTACTTTCTTATTATAATGTTCTTTTTCATGGTGTTTTTGTTTTTCTACTATAAAATTTTTGTAAACTTGAGCATAAAAACTTTTAAGCATTTCTGTAAATGTCTACATTAATTAATAACTCTATTGGTGAAGACATAAATCCAGATTTATGTCATAGATTTTCTCAAGATGAATTTTTCGTTTATTATTACTCTTCTAACAAAGCTATTGTCTGATATTATTCAACAAGGGGGAGGGCGGAAGTCTTGTCTGTAGAAGACAAAGGAATTCATGTTCTTTGAAAATTGTAATGAAAACAATCTCTTTATTAAAAACAGCTAATTTTTGATGAAAACTTTCAAAACTAAGGAGAAAGCTGTCTATTTTGCGTATTTTTCTTACATTAAGACGATCAAAAATCAAGAAATCTGCTAAACAACAGTTGATGAAAATTTTGTAGAAGAAAGATTTCACAACTGAAAATTCCTTCCAATAGTATGCTCCATTTCCTAATAATATCAAACATCGTGTTTTCTGCATATTCACCTTTAGAAAAAAAATGAAGTCATATTCTCTTTTTGTGATTTTCTAAATATACGACAATAGGATAAAATAATATATTTAATTTAAGGTCAATTCGAATGTGTGAAATCTAAATGGGGTCTTGCATTGGCAGCAACAGTACAAATTGTTGTTTCTTTGTTAATATCATTAGCATTATCATCATTGTTTCATATGACACCACGTCTTGATGGTGGTGAAGTATTTCCATACTTAGTTATATTTATTGGTTTGGAAAATTTAGTTGTATTAACACGTGCAGTTACATCATCACAAGCACAAAAACAATATGATGATATACGTGAACGTGTTGCACATGCACTTCGTGCTGAATCATGGACAATATCAAAACATTTAGTTTATGAATTAGTTATTGTTATGATTGGTTTTATAACATATGTTCCAACGGTTAGAGAATTTTGTCAATTGGCATTAATTGGAATTTTAATTGATTTTTTAATGCAAATTAATTTTTGGTTAGCAGTTTTAAGTATTGATATTCGAAGATTTACAGTTGGAGTTGGAAAAAAGAAAAATAGAAATTTAGAACAAGAAAAACAAGAAATTAAAGTTTCATTACCTATGAGAATGCCTTATGTAATAAATAGACGACAACAACAATCTCAATGGGCTAGATATAGAGTTTTACAACGTGGAAGTATGTTTATTGTTCTTATTTGGGTTATTCTTATTTTTTATAAATCATGTTTAATTGTTGATTTACTTCATAAAAATGGTAAGAAAAATATAAATTTATTGATTTTATTTTGATTTTATTTTTTGGTAAAACTTAAGTACAAATAAATCGAGAACAAATTAAAGGTTTTGTTCCAGAAAAAACGCTTAATGAACATTATGGTTCATCATTTAATAATCCATATGATTCACATAATAATGTTGAAGATCAAATGATGAATAATGTATCTTTACCTAATTATGAATGGCAAACACTTTTATCATATGATCATTGGTCAACATTATTTTCTTTTTATAATATTTCATACGATAATCGTTATTTAACTATAATGCCATCGATTTATTTACCAATGATTTCTTCTGAAGATCGAAAATTAGATGTGACAACAAAAGCTGCTGATTATAAAGTAAATATCTTATGTCTATTTGTGAGAAAAAATAAAAAATAATATTGAATATTAATCGAAATGATACTCACTGTTTGAGCATATATTGTGCCTACCAGAACACTTTGATAGGATTAACAAAAGTCTAAAAAGAATTTATTCTCATGGGCCTCTAGAGCCGAGTTACGGCCGTTTTATTGAACTTTCGACTCAGTCTTACGTACATATGCCGAAAAATCAAAAAAGAATATTTCAATCTGAAATTTCGCCCATAGATAAATTCAAAAATTCTTAGAATCCGCTGAAAATATTAATGAAAAAAGAATGTTTCTTGGTCGAGATATTGAGTTTCGAAAAACTAGTGTTTTGCTACAAAAAACGAGTTTACTTGAAGATTTAGTGTTTCGACAAAAGAATATTCTTTGTGGCTGAAACTATCAGGATATTCTACAAGTCATTCGATCAATCCATGGATAAAATTTCAGATTGAAATACAATGATTTGTTGTTTTCATTCACTATCTAATATTGACCCGAAAATTGGTCATAATTGAGCTTCAGAGACCCATGGAAATGAACTCTTTCAGGCTTTTTCTAGTCCAACCAACACTTCTTTGTGAGCCGAATATGAGCTCAGACGACCAATATCACTTCGAACGGTTCTCTCGTAAGTTTATGAACTTTCTACAACATGTTTTAAAAAAATCAATAATATACTTTGAATGGAGGAGTTTTATTTACATAGTTTTGATAGAATATGGTTTTTTAAAATATAGTGGTGAGTGTATGTGAGATCTTAATCTCACTTATACTTTTTTTTTTATAACTATAACTATCTCTTTCTTAACAACAATGTAATGACTATATTTATAGAGTGATAACATGGGGAAAATCCATAGAATAACATACACGAAAGGAAAAGTCCATCATATATACAGAGGAGTGCAAAAAAAATTGCCGTTAGTATTTGCTAAATCTATCCTTCTGAACACGATGAATATCGAAAGTTCTTTTTTCGTAAATAGTTTACATAACACGGAGTACATAAATGTATTAATCAATAACTAGTTCTGCTTTCCTCCAGGTAACGAACAAGGAAATATCATATCCTCATTGCTTCACTGAAAATAGCTTAGGCTTATTATGCCTAGGAATTTTGTCAAAGCATAAAATATGCATTTAGAGTAAAGTAAGAGTTGTCATGCACCTACTTTCGGATCAAGATTTGGTAGCTGCAGTTCCAGCTCTATATGATACTGCCCTGATTTCTAACATAGGAAACAAACTATGCGCCACATTCTCGCAATGTGATCCCTATTTGAATCTGAAGACAAATTCTGAGAATTATTTACTGAAACCAATTTCATCTACTACCCAAGGCCCATCTGTCCTCAAAATTTCAAGTCGACCGTATAAGTGATTATCGAGAAAGTGAGAAATACGGGTGGGACACCAATTGTACGGAGAAATGTGTAGATCGCGGTCATCTATTGGTTTCTAAAATCACTTGTTCTTGAAGCTGATTTACATTTCATTTAATGCTATAAATAAAGTACTTCGGTAACAAGACGACTTCGACAGCTCAACGATTGTCCTAGCTCAGGTAGTGTAAGATGACCATTGAATATGCAAAAAAAGCAGTGAATATTCAAATCATTATGCATATCGGCCAACAGAATGATACTTTTGAAGAAGTATCTCTCATATTGCATTCTATAGCATCTCCTGGACTGCCGAGGAAGGCTTCAAAAGAATCCATTCATACGCTTAACAGATAAGACTCGAGAAAAAGCATATGTGTATCGGCAATTTTTTTTTGCACTCCACTGTATATATATATATGTATGACAGAAAAGGGAATCTTCATGGTGCATGCCTAAAAAATAAGAAAAAGGAAGAAGCACAAAAGTATATATGTATAATCCTATAGATAAAGAGGAAAAATCTTTATGACTGCATCTAAAAAAGATACAGGTCATGACAGTGCAAAATATGAATATGTGTAGAAATTCTATTTTCGTACATAGAATGATTCGACAAAAATGACATTGATCAATGAAGATGAATGTCCGTTGAAACCACTCTATACTGAGATCCAACCGATTCTGTTGACATTGACAAAGTAGGGCAAGGCCCGAGAAAAGTTTATTTTCGGCAAGATCTAGTATAAGAGCTTTCGAAAGATACGTCGACTATTTATATAATCAGTTTAAATCTAAGTCATTTTATATTCGTCATTTATAATTGCGTATAAGAAGTTTACTGTGAAATTGGAACAGACAGTTGTCATATAGAAATAATAGATATTTTTAAATCTAAAATTAGTTCAAGAATCATATATACATGATTGATAAAATGCATGACAAAACAGTATGAAAAGGAGAAAAACATCTGATAGAAAGAGAAAGAATGAATAAATATATTATATTTTCACCGAAACATAAGTCGGATCATTTTCTTTTTTTTTTCTGATCGAACCGAAAAAAAAATTTTATTCTTGAGCACAGTACCAGTCAAAATGAGATTCAGTTCTAATACTAAGTTTAGTAAAAATTTTGTCAGCATATAACTTAAAATTATTTTCTACCGTTATCATAAATTTGAAAGATCTTATTTCTCTATTGGCAACTATTTCGTTGTTAGTAGTCTTTTTTTGTGTTTTCACTTAGACATGAATTATTTCAGTTCAGCTCTGGATTTCATTAAAAAATGTGTGACATCAGCCCTAATTTTGATGATAACAGAACTTAGGCTAGTTTGCTCATATTTGTCTATAATACAATGCTCATGTACAGTACATCCTAACAATTTTTTATAATAAGTTGTATGTGATTTGAATTTTGAATGTATCATTTTACCTTGAAATTGCAAAAAAAACTATAGATAACATGAAGGACAAAAACAACTGATTTAAATCATCCAAAGTTCATCGAGTATCACAAAAAATTATAAATTACCTTTTTTTCTATTTGCTTCAATATTTTTGTTATGATTTTCAAACATAAATGAGAAAATTTTATTCCAAAAAGATCATCTTTTATTATAAAAGACAAAGAATACTATGATGATCATGTTTGTGATTATTCGATTTCTGGAAGATCTTTACATAAATTCTAATATTTAAATAACACTCTAGAGTAAAATAACTTCCTCCCCTCCGTCATAGTAGATCCCGGATCTTCTATTGTGTCCCATTTATTTTTCATAATTTTTAATCAAAAGTTCTTTTTAGAAAATGAAAAACGATTTCGAGGATTCAAAATAATATGTTTAGGGCTTTAAAAGTTTAGGAGTGATGTTCATCCAGTTTTTTAAGAATTTCAGCTCAAAACTCTAATAAATAGGCAAATTTTCATGTAAATATACTAAGTAAAGTTCCAATTTTCTGAAAAATCGATTAATTAGAAGATGAGATCAGTCTTTTATTACCTTCGGCGTATTGCTTCTTGAAACAAGTTTTCTATTGCGAGAAGAAGTTTATTTCGAAATGAGCAGATCAATACTACTATAATAATTTTAGTCAAATATCATAGTACTTTATACAATGTTTAAAATAAATTTGTTCTAATTGATTAGTCAAAAGTTCCTAACTCATGAATGATACAAATTAGTTTGATACGATTTATGAAATAAATGTATATATATATATGTTTGTAGGTAACCCATCGACCTTTAATTGATGCAACAATAACAAGTACAAGTAATTCATTGATTGATGGCCGATTTTCAACAGCTCTTTGGGAACTTTTTTTTATTGTTTTATTTGGTTTAACATTATTTAGTATTGTTTATTTTTGGTTTTCTACATCATCATCTTCATTACATTCAAATCATAATCGAACATTATCTTGTATTAAAAGTGATCATTCAATTGTTCCAACAATATTAATACCTCCATCATCTACATTATTAATTGAATCGATGTGTGTACATGAAAATGGTACAGTTGTTTGTGTAGCATATTCCGATGGTTCAATTTCTATGTGGAATCCTCAAACAAGTGGTATTATTTTAACACAACAAAGATATTCAATAACATCAACTGAAAAACTCATCAATCATGTTTGGTGTTCATTAATGATCGATGAACATCGATGTTTATTTGGTTGTTCAAATGGTCAAATAGAAATTTATCCAAATAATTCATTATCAAAAAATTTGATATTATGTCAAAATGATCTTGGTGGTATAACACATCTTATACGAGCATCATCAACATTAATAATAAGTACAACACGTCGAGGTTATTTAATTGCATTTGAATATATAAATGGTTTAATAAAACAAATTTATATTAAAAGATTACATCAATGGCCAATACGTGTTTGTCGACTTGATTTTAATTCTGCACTTATATTCACTGGTAGTGATGATCATTCAATCAAAGTTACTAATGTTTCAAATGGTTCGTGTTTACATATTTTACAAAAACATCAATCACCTATTAATTGTCTTGCTCTTGATCCAGTAAGTTAATTCTTATAAATAGTATTATAAAAGATATAAAATAATGTTTTTATGAGAAATTATAATGACAATAATAAATTAAATATAGTGTATTTTCTTACATTATTTGACATTCCTACCGGAGAGTCTTCTTCATAGTTATTAGCATTTTATTGATTTTTTTTTGAGCTACTATTTGGGAAATTTTTGCTTTCAAATGATTTCGTATGTAGTCTTTTTTCTCAAATAGAGGTCACTGTAAAAAGAAAAGCGTAGAATAATAAACCCTTTTAGGGTTAATGCCAATTTCATTGACCCTTCAAGCGGTTCATGAAAATACAACGTATAATATGTCCTTGAAGAGTTTATGAAATCGGCATAAATCCTAAAAGAGTTGATGAAAGTTTTTAATGAGGCTAATAAATCCATTGCATAGAGTTTAGTAATCAACGATTTGTTTTTTATACTATCAAAATGATGTCAACTTGATGACCTTCAGATAGATTCTCTTCCATATTTGCACGATATATTGTTGATAAATTCTATTAGCAAAGTTCATTTCCATTTCATAAAAATATATAATCTATTATTAATGATTGAGACGATATCGATTTTTCACAAATTTCATAATACTTTTTTTGTTGCTTATCTAAAATCAACAAAATTTCTTTTTTAAAATTCAATTTGATTAATAATTCTGTAATATATACTAAATGATTTTTTTTTACGAAATCGAAATGACTAATACCTTACGCAAGAACTTTTCTTTCATCTCGCATCATTTTTTTTGTTTTATTAATGGACTATATCAGTAAATTATATATCATTCAAGCAAATCTCGATACTCTACACGATAGGGGTCTAAATGTATAGTTCTAGCAGAAATAGAAGAATCTAGTATCGTATACTGTGTTTTCATGATTGGACCATTTTTCTTAGATTCAGAGTGTAAATAGTTTTAAAAATGCAAATTTCATTAACTAATCTATTTCAATAGACCTTTTGAATAGTTTGTATGAAATCGAGATCTGAAATTGTTCTGATTGTGCCCTAAGAGAAAAACAACAAAGACTTCCGTCTTTGAGTTCCGTGAAATTCTATGAAATCTTTTGAAGTTTTTAACGTCCAGTTTTTCTTTCTCTTGTTTTTTTACCCTGAATGAAGGTTTTTGTTGTTGTGTTCATTTCTCTTTTATTTAATATTATATATAAGTGTTGATTATTTTCTTTTAAATAATTTTAGTATCATCCAACAACATTGGTAAGTGGTTGTTTTAATGGAACATTATGTGTTTGGAAAGGAAATGATCTTATTCAAACAAATATCAATGCACATCCATTATCAATAATAATTGATTTAAATTTTTGTGGTCATTCATCAAATATAATAAGTCTTGGTACAGATAAACGTTTATGTATATGGACATATTCAAGTTTACAACTTCTTTATGAATTAAATGATATAACATCAAATTGTTTTACTATACATCGTACAAATTATTTATTTTATACAAAATTAAATTCTCTTTTTATATATGATACACTTAATCAAAGAAAAATATCAACAAGACAATTTTTAATTCCATTTCTAAATGATATTAATCGAGATGAAACTGAAATGAATATTGACAAACTTATTTATTCATCACAAACAGAAACATTGATACTACAGAATTCGGATATTATTTATGCAATGCACTTACCACAACGTTTTTTTCTTGACCGGTGATTGATTGTTGATTGATTACATTTTTTTTTTCATTTGTGATATTTATTTTTTACTTTTTATTCTTAACTGAACAGATGTGTATAAAGAAAAACAAACGTCCTTTTAAATATATAGACGAAAAAAGAATTTATCTTTTTTTGTGTTTTCATTTCCATGTGTTTTTTTTTCCTTTTATTGTATAAAAGTTTGATAAATTGTCTTATGAATATCTGACGATTGTTATGATAATTTTCTAGATTGCATAAATCGATACATACGTGTTATTGTTTTCTGGCATTTCGTTTGCTTGGTAATGCGACGATTAGAAATATATTCCATTTGCATTTCATTGTCCGTGTTACTTCAATTTTCTTAGTATATTGGAAAGAAGACACGGTCATGACGATGGCAACTATCAAAGGTAGACATTACATTTATAGATTTTTTTCTCGACATTTTCTTATTCTACGAATCGGTCTTTCTATGTTTGTCGTTCGTCATTCATCCACTTTTCTCCCTATTGCAACAGCATTTGTGCTTATCGACATCGCTGTCTTTCTCTTTTTGTATGTGTTTTTAGACTAGTTTGCATGCTGCTGCTCTTATGTTGATGTGATGATTGTTTCCCTCCCTCACGTTCTCTCTCATTTCGCGTTGTGTTCTGCCTTGTCACGACAGACACACATACATCCATCATATGATCCTACATTTTTTTTCTTTCTCTTTCTTCTTTCTCTCCCATATGATCTTCTATTTTTACTGGCGCACCATTCCCGTTTTTTTTTATCGATAGCAATAATGATGTTGTTGTTGATGATGATGATGATAGCCTTGTGTGCATATTTATATATATATATATATGTATAAATATATTCATTTATGCATGTTTTAGTTTGTCGTCATTGGTATGACTAATCCCGAGTCTCACTATCCATTTGTTCATTGGCCAGCAAACTCAGCTTCTAATTTGACTGGCATCTATAATAAAAATCACGACGATTGTCAGATATTTCATCCGCCAACAACACAAAATCTTCTGACATATTTTCAACAAAGAGATCAAGCAATTACTCCTCATATAATGTATGTAATGTTTGCCTATATCTGTTTTTTTTAGCTTTCATGACAAATATAGAATATGATAAAGCAAAAATGTATTTTAAGTGCATTTATGTATCTATCTTAAGTCATTTTTATTGGCTTACCGGAAAGTAGAACAAAAATAAATGATAGAAGCACAACTTTGTTTTTTTTTTCAATTTATTATTTTAAAATTCGAGTTTTAGTCATCTTGAAGTATTATATTTACGTTGACTTTATTATTACTCATACTTGAAAAAAAAATGTGTAAAATAAGCATAAAAGTGATGTTTTTGGAATGTTAATAATTTATTCTTGTAAAACAATGAGATAAAGAAGATGGTTAATTTATTGATAAAAGTTTATGTTTTATTACAAAGAAAAAATAAAAGAATAGTTTTTAATCAATTGTTTTTTTATTTTTCTATTCTTAAAGAGAAAATCATTTGAAATCATCAAATGTTGCTGTAACTGGAATATCATCATCATCATCTTGTTCATCATATCCGAAACAAATATCATCTTCTTCTCCAATTCCATTTCAACCATATCTTATAACTCCATATCATACACAAAATACACCACCTTATTCATCATCAATGTCGAATTCAACAAATACGACTCAAGTCTCAACACCTCGTAAACGTAAACAACCAATGAATGATACATCATCATTTCTTACACCTTCAATACCAGCGAAACGATCGACTCCTCTAGCTATGTTTTTTCCAAAAGTTATGCCGTTCGACGGTTCAGTTGTGATGTTTCTTAACAATAGTAAAATTACTCAAACTGATCCTTCATTCTCAATGTTCACATCTAGTCATCATCTTGATATTGAACAACAAAAATTAACAGCTGAAATTGATGAATTACGTCGTGCAAAATTAGATACTCAACGTCAATATGACTCAACTGTTGAATCAATAAAACGTTGTCTTGTTATGACACGTTCATTACTTATTGAAAAATCTCAATTAGAAAAAAAAGAAGCACGAGAAAAATCTATGGAAAATCGTTTACGTCTTGGTCAGTTTGTCACACAACGTCAAGGTACATCATTTGTTGAACAATGGGTTGATGGTTTTGACTTTTTGGATAAACAACGTGCACAAGAACAATTAGCTCGAGCTAAAGAAAATCTTGATCGTGAACGAAAAATTTTAGCTAAAAAGAAAACATTTTTACAACAACAACAACAACAAATAATAATGGCAACTATAGCAGATGAGACAATTACTCTTAATAATAGTTCCAGTTCTCAAGACTTTAACAATTCGGTGTTTGTACCACCAACGAAATCTAAACGAACAAATAAAACTTCAACTATTAAAACCTTCACTAGGTAAATTTGATCTTTCATTTTTGACATTGTTCTTTATTTTTACTAACAGACAATATATTTAAGTATTTCAATTTTTCTATAGCGAATTATATTAAATTTAAGAAATTATTAGAGATGAAAAAAAGAACTATGATTTTTGAATAATTAAAAAACTAATACATGATTTTTCTAATTTGTTTGTAGTTTACTTGTTTGAATAGGTTAAATATATTGACGAATCTTTAATAGATTTACTTAAGAAATGAAAAAAAAACCTTGTCATTTTAGTCAACAAAAGCTTCAACCAATTGCGTCGTCATCACTCGTTGTAACATTTAATAATAATCCCTTAATTGGTTCGTCATCATTCATTGGACATCAACAGATTCAAGCACTTTCTGATAATTCAAATGATGGTCATTATCTATATTCTGGTGATAATAATCCACCTATTGATAGTGGAAATTCATCATCATCATCATCGTCTCTTATTTCGAACTCTTCCTCATCTATAATGACATTACAAGATTGGTATGAATATGATGAAGTACTTCGTCTTCGACAATTAACACTTAAGCGTGAGGAATGTGATTTAGCACAAGACTTAGAAAAACTTGATCGCGAAAGAAATGTTCATATAAGAGAATTAAAACGCTTGTATAATGAAGATCATTCAAGATTTAATAAAAATAATATACTTCATGAACGATATTTATTATTAACATTGATTGGTAAAGGTGGTTTTAGTGAAGTACATCGTGCATTTGATTTACGTGAACAACGTTATGTGGCATGTAAAATTCATCAGTTAAATAAAGAATGGAAAGATGAAAAAAAAGTTAATTACATTAAACATGCTGTTAGAGAATATAATATACATAAACATTTAGAACACAAACGTAAGTGTTTTTTCTTTTCTATTCATATTTAGAATGAATACAAAAATTATTCAATTAGGCGTATTTTCATTTTTTTTCTTTGCCGTAAGCGCTAGAAACAATCGAAATAGTGATTTGAGTAAAGGAAATTGTTTTCCAACAGTAATGTAAGAAAATAAAAATTATTATCAGGTTTTCAAAGATAATGGCTCCAGAAAAGTTATAACTCTTGTAGTTCAGCATGTAAAATGCGTCAATATAATTTTGTTTGGACTGAATAGAACTATAGAGAAAATCATTCTCTACAAAATGAGACGTCTTTGAGTTTTCTGTAATATTTTTTAGTTGAGATATAGCAATTTTACGGAAGTCCTTAAGGTCGTTCTTCTTACTGTTTCCTATAGGAAAACCATTTTTTTGACCTTTAATCAAATTACTGTATCTCAGCCAAAAAAAACGTCGCAGAAAACTCGGAGACATCTAGTTTGTTGAGAATGGTTTACTCTGTCATTCTACATACTAGAAACAAAATTATTCTTACGCATTTTAAGTGCTGAAAAACGAAGATTTTGGCTTTCTGGAGTGTTTATGTTTGAAAATTTGATAATAATTTTTGATTTCGTTATATTCTTTTTGAAAAGAATTTTCTCTACTTGAATTACTATTTGAAACCTTTCTAATGCTTATGACAGTGGAAAAATTTGAAAATAAATCTTATTGAATAATTTTGGTATCCGTTGAAAATATATTTATATATTAATAAGAAAATAATATTTGTTTAGGTATTGTTAAATTATTTGATGTATTTGAAATTGATACAAATTCATTTTGCACAGTTTTGGAATATTGTGATGGAAACGATTTAGATTTTTTTCTTAAACAAAATAAAACAATTCCGGAAAAAGAAGCACGCTCAATCATAATGCAAACACTTAATGCATTGAAATATCTTAATTCAGAAATAAAACCACCTGTGGTCTGTTTTATTTAATTATTATTCAAAAACAAATGAAAATTTTTTATTTCATTTTTTTATTTCAGATTCATTATGATTTAAAACCAGGTAATGTTCTTTTGGGGAGAGGAAATAATAGTGGTGAAATTAAAATAACTGATTTCGGTTTATCTAAACAAATGCATGAAGATACATTTGATGCTGATGATGGAATGGATCTTACATCTCAAGGTAAACAAAGATTAAATAGATAATAAGTGTAATTATTAATATTTTTTTTTCCTAGGTGCCGGTACTTATTGGTATCTACCACCGGAAGTATTTGTTCAAGGTCCTAATCCTCCTAAGATTTCATCCAAAGTTGATGTTTGGAGTGTTGGCTGTGAGTTTCGCTAGTTGATTTTGTTATTAATGAATTAAAATCTTTGTTTTTTTTATTAGGTATTTTTTATCAATGTCTATATGGTCGAAAGCCGTACGGTCATAATTTATCTCAAGCAGCTATATTAGAAAATCAAACAATTTTAAATGCTAAAGAAATTCAATTTCCTAATCGACCTCAAGTATCCAATGAAGCCAAATCATTTATTCGTCGTTGTTTGACTTATCAAGTACGTGATCGTCCCGATGTTTTACAATTAAGTGAAGATGAATATTTGAAATCTTATCCAAAACGTACAACAGCCACAACTTCTTCTCCTCTTTTTTGTCCTAAATAACTATGTAAATTATAATATTTGTTTCTCTACTTCTACTAGTAAACCAACAGTAAATGACGGCCTGT